GTGTTGGAATATAACCTTTTTGATCAAAAGAAATTGATAAATAAAAACACTGTCCTTCCAGTCCATGTCCTCATGCCCTGCTTGACCTCCCAAGATTTTCCTTTTCTATACAAGTCATGAAGCCATCAGTCATATCAAAGCTAAATTACAGCCTGAGGGCTAAACACAGAGAGGTAAGAGAGGGAGAGAAAAAAGAGATTGTCATCGCTGATTAAAGAGTGCATTGGGTGAAGTGCTGTGGAGTTTAATCCTCTTACACCATGCAGCTGTGGAGTGACAGTGTGGAGCAAGAGCCTGAGAGCAGGTGTGGAGGTGGGGTGGATCTGCAAGAGTGGAACACGGTGTTGTGTTTTCATTTGGTGTCATGGGCTTAATTCAGAGAAACATCTGTCATAGGCAAAGAAACAGCCATCTGGAATACAAACCGGCATCCGGCGTAGATATTTACCCCAGCTCACAGGACTGGGGGAGATAGGTAACCACACCTACAACCAGAAAATATTTTTTCAATAGTAAATTCTTTTAGTTTAAACAGCTTATGCATTCCTTATTATCATTACATTTAAATGATGTAACTATAAATATAATCATTCATGTAGTCTGGCTGTGAGGGGCTGGTAGGCGGTCATTTCGGGATTATATGCCGTGGACCATTATGGAAACTGTTCACAGTGCGTTGGTTTAATGCTTAATCCATTCCTCATACATAAAACTTGCTTGATCTCCTTTTTATTATGTACAAGAATAACGAGTAAATCACCCAGGGCCTCCCTGAAATAGTTCGTCAATAGAGGCAAAGAGGCATATGTGATTCCTTAAATCTACCATTCCCAGTGTAGCGTGCTTCAAAGACAGCTTTCATGTGTCACCCCCCAGGCCTACGTTGTCTGTCCTGTTCAACCTCTGAGATCTACTCCGAGACTTTCCACTAGACTTAAAGCCCTTGAACTCATTGTGCCATCTTTTACCTCAGGACTTTGCCATGTGATGCTCATTCCTGTCACTAAAAGTGTGTTTGTGCAAGCAGCATCCCGAAAAAGCGGAGGTAGCCTCAGTGCCAGGAGATGAGACCATGCATTAAACATGCAGCCTCCGTGTATCTCCTCCATTTTTAATGGTGCAGTTGGCTGTGGGTCTGAATGTAAACACGATTTTAACAATGGGGTGTTGACTGCATATGACAGACAGGAGGAGAGAAACATAACACACACGACAGACATGCTGTTATTACATTTTTAATGATTTGTAAGACTGCTGTACATATTTTTATTTTGTGTACTTCTTTGAGAACAAGAAGTTTTATGATAAAGGATGAGATGAGATTTAAGCACATGCTTAAGCCAAGGATAGTTCTCCTTTTATTTAAAATTGCTATATTCTGCAGCTTATTTTGTTATTCACACAACTACAAGCACACTGCTTTTAATGGCAAGCTATCAGAAAACATAAAGATCACCAACTTTGGAGTTGCAGATGTTTAAATGGAAATTTCTCAGAACTTGGTGCACACTGTATTCCTAGCAAAGCCAAATACGAGAGATGCCATCACTTGTAACCACAGTGCATTAGTGAGTATAAATAGTGATCAAATTATAACGTAAGCCACTGTTTGTGAAGGCGTTTCACACACTAATTTAAAGGTTCATACAGTAAGCTAACTCTTTTTGCTGTCTGTAAACTGCTAAAAAGGTTTATGTGAAGGAGGTTCCAATGTCTTCCTAGTCAACATCCTAGTCTAAAGCTGATAACAGTCAAAAACAGGCTACTCCTACTAGTTGCAAACATACATGTAGCGTTTGCTCAGTGGATACTAAACTCTGTGCAGTTATATGAAACATTAAGTACACCTTTACTGCTTCCATAGGAATTAAAGAGGGTAACAGCCAGACCCTCCTAATCAAATGTATATGATTAACCGATCATGAGCAAGTGTCTTGCATCCTCTAAAAAAGAATTCCCAACAAATTAATCCGAAGGTCAAAGAGTACAATGCTCAGAAAAAAAAGAGCTACACCTCAGTCTATACAGGCCTGAGTTAGCCTGTTAAATATTAAAGTTCAAGACAGAATTAGAAGAAGACAGAAAAAGTATAGCTTATTTAGAACTGCTGTCAGGAGTAATCCTCTTCTCTCTGAAAAACATGGAAGCATGGATCAAGTTTGCAAAGCTGCATCTTAACAAACAGCAATACCTCAGGAACAACATCCTTTGGACAGACGAGACTAAAGTGGAGATTTCTGGCCAATATCAACTGTCAAGTACGGTGGTGGAGGGGTGATGATTTGTGTTTGTTTTCTAGCCACATGAGCTGGGCACTTTCCTCTGTATATCAAAGTATTTACAGAATCAAATGCGAAGCCATGTGCTGGACAACTGAAGCAAATTGGGTCACGCAACGGGACAATGATCCTAAGCAAACAAGCAAATCTACAGCAGAACCAAGGCAGTGCAATGGCCGAGTCAAAGTCCAGACATTAACCCAACTGAAATGCTGCGGTGCTGTGCATGAACATATCTCCATACATCTCAATGAACTGCAGCAATGCTGCAAAGACGAACGGGCCAAAATTCCTCTACAGCAAAGTGAGAGACTGATGAAGTCATACAGAAAACAACTACTTTACATTATTGCTGCTAAAGGTGGTTCTACAAGCTACTGAATCATGGATCATGGGGTGTACTTACTTTTTCACAGTTCTGTACATAGAGCTTTCCAGAAACTTTCTTTTTTAAGGGAATATAGGTGTGAGCACTTTGGCCACTTTGTTTCTGTGCTACGCTGCCAGTGATGCTCAGCACTTGATCCCCAGCTCAAAACCACTTTGTGTAATTTTTACATAATATATCTGCACCATTTGAGCTGACTGGCTGAACTACATCCACAAGGTGGGCTGTTAAAATGTGTAATTCATAAACTGAAGTGATAATTTCATGGTGCAAACCTTCCACAGATTCATATGTTAATATCCTCGCCTGTAGACTTAGTGGAAGTGAGGGATTGGAGATTATTTTTATTTTGTGTATTTGATGCAGGGGTTTGTAAGGTGTCAGCAAGCGCCAGAAAGCTTTATTTTCCACTGACAGTGCATTCCTTTTCTCCTGCCTGCCTTTATTATCAATTGCTATTTTGAGCTTGGATTTTCTTCTAAAATTGGCATTAGTGTTATATTCCTTCTTCCCGTCAACGCCCCATGTGCTGTGTTCATCGCCCCTGCTGTGCATCTGCCCAGCTGCTGCTGCTCATTTTTTAAAGATGCATAGAAGTAAGTGTGAAATCTACAGGATGAGACATGATTGTATAACCTATCACACATTTAATGAGCCATTTCATATCATTTTCTGGGGCTAGGAGCAGCCTCTTTTATGTACATGGTGTAGAATTATGGCCGCCCAAACTGAACACTTCAGCATTGATGTTGATGGATGTTGCGTGAAAGCAGAGTGAAAATGATTTGTTAAGGAAGACACGGCCACTAAGCTGTTTGTTGTTGCTGCTTGAGCCACACAAAGAGAATTTTAAAAAAGGCTTCAACTTCCTCAGCTCATTATAATGAAAGAGAGAGAGCAGAGCAGTACAGTAAGCGGAGAGCAGTGTCGGAGCACCACAGTCAGCAATTTTTATGAAATGTATGTGCGGCTTGATGTACTGCCAGTTGCACACTTTTCAGTCTCCTTCTCTGCAGAGATGAAAATCACATTTGATCCAGTTTGATAACAGAACTGGGTCATGGTTTGAGAAATGTTCCTGGCTCTACAGCAGGGACACACGCACAACCGTAACACATTCATAGACACACAACACTCTCTATGCCTGCTTAGTATATAGTTGGCCAGCAGCCCCTCCGTCACCAATTAATTTTATTGGGAGTTAATCACATCATTCATGGTCTTTAAGAACAAGCAGTCGTCACTTTAAATCAAAGCTCTCAATGTACTTCAGTGATGTGGCCATGAATGGAGACATTCTATTTGGGTGAATGGTATCAATTTTATGTGCAAGATTACTCAGTATATATAAAGTTATAGCGAATACTTTCAGCTTTAAATAAATGCTATATATTAAACAGCAGCATATACATTTTTTCTTCTCTCTTTTTTAGTAATATTGTCTTTGTAGATGGCTTGAGTGAAATATCTCAGCAAGTACTTGTGGTCACCAGAGCATGTAAGCTAATCTAATGACTGTTAGGTTGCTTTTTCTAAGTAACACTCTTATATTTTATAGGAGTGTTACTTAGAAAAAGGGATTTACTCCTGCCTTCTTCTCCTAATAGCAGCCGTAGCAGCTTCGACAGGCAAAACTGTCCAGTTCTTGAATTTTTTTACAAAATTTCTTCAAAATTGGCAGCATTCCCACTGGCTTTAGCTTTGTAGAAATTAGCTAATGTAGCATGCTAAGGCTATCCATTATAAACACAAGCTTGTTAGCATTTTCTTAAAATCGTTGCACAAGGCCTCACAGAGCTGCTAGCAAAGACAATTACAGTTTACTATAAACCTTTAGCTAATATTCATTCGATTATTTATAAATTATTGAACAACACAGTCAGATGAGCTACACTTACATTCCAGAAATTCAAGACAAGGAAGAGGACCAGTCCAACACGCCTGTGATGTTGATGCCTCTTTGCAACAGCGCTGAATCAATTTTTCATGTGCAGTCCATGCTACTTCTTCAGGAAATGACCCAAATCCTTCCTAAAGCACTAGCCCTCTTGTAAAAGTGAACATTTATGAGTTAAAAAAAACAGCTAGATTTAATCTTTATGTCAACATAAGGGTCCCTGATATTTAGTGATAAATATAAGTGCACTGAGAGGACTCAAAATTTTGGTTTGGTTTTTAAAAGCACTAAATTAAAGCAGCAATTTTCCGCCTTTAGTGATAAAACCAAAGAGTCGCAGAGAAATAGGTTATACTACCAAATCTTTACTCTCCACAACTATTGCTGACTTCAAACTGAAAGCACAAAATTGGATAACAAAGACAAAAAGACAGCATTTTAGAGTTCATTTAACTTTATTGAGAGCTGTGAAGATCACAGAGCAGCTAGCCATGCAGAGAACTAGCCTGGTAGTGCGCATTTAGATTTGAGATTCACCTGGTAATACTGATCCTGAGCCAATTTTGGTTCTAGTCAGTGAGGATAATGTTTAAGAGTAGCATGGTACAGACTAATTCAAGATGTAAAAGCAAGTCCAAATTCAAATCCTTGCAAAAGCACACCGACACACGTGTGGATACACTGGAAATAAGCCGAGTATAAAATAAGGTGAGTGACTAGAACTGTTGTGCATAGTATCTGAAAAGACTTGTGCTGACAGGGGTAGTTGTTAATTGAGCAAAGAGATGCATACATAGGTAAGTAAGACAATAAATAGTAATTTCCTGTAAGTTGTAACTGTGAAATTAATGCCCTTCGTTGGGTCCTGGATAGCTGCAAACCTCTTAACCAGAGTGCTATTCAGAGCCGCTATATACAATATTTTTAAGGCTATTTACAAATACTGTCATAATTGTATTTACAGTTATTGCCACAACAAAGGCAGTCCATGACTGCCTTATTGTTTTCAAATGACAGAGCAATAAACCAAGTGTCGTGAGGTGATTTAGTCTTTTTCCTAACCCTGGTCTCTCTTTAATACTTATCACTTATGTGTGCTGGGAGAAACTTGCCATTGATTTAAAATAACATAAACTTTTGAGTGTCTGAGAGACTAAAAGTTGGAAGAGTTTAATAAATCATCCTGGATTATTTCTTTGCTCTGCTCTGTCCAGGAGGAAAAGCAAGCACATCAAAAAGTCCTAACATTGACACCATCCTCATGCTGAAGTACACAACTAGATATGACCGCGAATATTACAGGACATTACATACAGATAGACATGTCTTGGTGTTTATTTGATGAAGAAAGCAGATTCTAGTGGATGGTTTTTAACGCTACACTGAACAGAGTGAATTATGAAATCTGTGTGTGTAAAGAAAGTGCGACTGAAGGGCACACTGACAAAGAAACTCCCCGAGGTGCACGCAAAGCATTTGTCACATCAGAGCTGTGAAGAGCACAAATCTACGATATTCCAATCACCGGAGAGCAGTCTGAAATGTAAGAACCTCAGCATCTGTGTGTGTCATTAATAAAAGATGTGGCCGAGAAGACTTACTTTTATATATTATGTAATACCTGAATCTTTTTCTACTCGGAGCAGGAGTGACACATATCCATATCATCAATTCATATCATGATGTAAAATGTGCTCATATAGAGCTGCAGTGCGGACATCCAAATATGGTTTAAATTCTCAGCTAAATCTATCAAATCCAGGCGGTTTAACAGGGTTTCAAACAAACAGCCAGACAGTGTGTTTGCACAATGCATCACAATAAACAGCTACAGACTTTCACAATGTCTCGTTTCCTCTACAAAAACAATGACATTAAGACAGTTTGCTTACAATGTCTCTTTAGGCTTGGACAAGCCTCGACATCATAATTAAAAAGTCCTCTCTTCTTTCTCACAAACAGATGGCCAATGGAGATGGCTATTGAGGTAGCCAGACTTCCTGCACACTTATCCTCTTCCACATAATGCTACATTTCATTTGTGAGGGTATAAAAAAGGAAAGCTGTGCTACAAGAAAAGTAGCTCTAAATAATTGCAAGGAAGCCCCTGCATCCTTTAGGTCTTAAACTGCGGTAAAAAGCAAAGTTGTGAGTTATCTTCCACTCACACTGCTTTCACTGCCACATTTTTGAGATGGAGGTGGGTGGTTGGTGGTCAGTGAGGTGTTGGCTAAACACTCCTGAGTATTCCTCCATCACTGTAACAAAATGAGGGTCAAGGCGAAAGCAGCACCGTCATATTTCTAGCAGACACTTCACAGGAACCAGGCCCCTCTTCTTCCCGCTGCTCAGCCGGAGGAAGCCGTCAATCTCCTCGTTCTTCCCGATACAGATCTGCAGAGGGAGAGTCAGACGGTGAGGAAAGGCAAGAAGAGAGGACAATGGAGCAGGTGGAAGGGCAAGTGAAATAAAAAAAATAAATATGTGACTTTCTGGACTGAGGTAAAAAAAACAAAAAACAGTCATAACATGCAGTCCTCGGTAATCACAGCAGCTTTTTGCATTCCTTTGCATAGATTTTGAAAAGGCTTTCAGCGTGCAAGAGAAACTGTGTGTATTTTACAGTCTCACCTGGGACTCTTTCACAGTCATCTGGCCTTTGTCTCGGTTGCCGTGGAAACCAGTAGTGACCTTCCACACCCTCTCACCAGGGCGGATACGCTGCACAAAGTTGGCTGGAAAAAATCCCACCTTGTTTCTGCTTTTCCCCTGGCAAACACACCCAACCAAGGACACACACATACACAAACATTTAGCCCGTTAGTCTAAACAGAGAGGAAAAAAAGGTCTGCACTGGTTGTAGTATAAAAATAGATCTCACTCACTGGGTTTTTCACTCAACTTTGCTCACTCGCTTAAGGTAAATTATTTCATATCATGTCCTCTTATGTTCCAACATGAGTATGTTACTCAGAGGCAGCTTCCTCTGCAGCCCTCAAATAAGCATCACATTTGTACCACAATAAGAGAAATGAATTAGAATGAACCGTCACAATTAGCAAGAAATCTGGAATTAAAAAGAGATTTCTGAGTTTTTGTTCCCTAATTAGCAACACAGCCACTAGACCAAAAAGCATTTTTGTATTTGTGAAGCCCTAATCCCCTGCTATTCTCTTCAGAGACTCTGGCACACAAGCATACAAAACCCAGGAATGCTGGAGTTGCACAACTCAAAATTTACCCATTTTGCTGGCTTGGCTGAGTCCTTGCTTAAACTGAAAGCATATATAAAAGGGAAACAGCAGATTTCTGCAGAGTGTAAGTATCTCTTTTGGAAGGTGGTTTGTATGTTTTTTTGTTATTTTTGTTGAAATAACAGTAGCACTGTTTGTGCATTTGTAGCTGAAGTCACTAGACTGTCCTGAATCACTTTAAACACATTCTGAATGAAGAATTGCACTGCGTTTAAATCAAGTCACAAATATTGTTTTCTGAAGTAATTTGGTTTGTACTCTTTAAGAAGGAAAATAGAAAAATCCAACAAAAATATTTATTTACAGTCAATTTTAAATGAGCCCCTTGATGATCTTTTCATTCATTTAATTGAGGCTTCTTCGTTAACTAAAATTAGCTGCAGAAAAATAGTTCCTTTGCTGCCACCGTGTCGGGTAAGACAAGCTTTTACTTTTCCCTGATGTTTTGTTATGTGAAGACTCGTCTGTCCTTCTGCTGGTCAAGGTTAAAATCGCCTGCTGTCTCATTAAAACACAGATAGCAATCTGTCCTCTTCCTCTTCATGTTAACTAGCTCTGCTAACAGTCATACCTGCCTTACTTCAGGGCTCAACTATCAACTCTGTTACTGTGACCAAACAGCCCTGCTTTGAAAGGAAGTTCAGATGTCGAGCTGAGGGTCCTGGATAAGTAAATATGTTATTTACAAAAGCACTGGCTCAGTTAAAAAGAAAGAAAATGTAATGCTTCCGAATGACTTAGTGAATAGATAACACTTCGGTGCATTTAAATATAAAGTCTGTTTTATAAAGCCTACCTTCCACCAGTCTTCATTGGAATCATCTGTCACTTGAATTCTGTCACCAGGCCTGCAGAGAAAACAGAATATAGACCAGAGTGCAGTGAGCTGAGTATCCTTTGAAGAGGATTTTTACCACTTTAAAAGCAATAGTGTCAGGTTTGATGTTCCCTTGTAATTTTATTCTATTTTTACCAAAAAAAAAAAAAAAGACTAAACAGTTGGCAGTGTTAGATATACATCCATCCATCAATCCATTCGCTTCCGCTTATCCTTTTTAGGGTCGCGGGGGGTGCTGGAGCCTATCCCAGCTGTCATAGGGCGAGAGGTTGGGTACACCCTGGACAGGTCACCAGTCGGTCGCAGGGCTAACACACAGAGGCATACAGTGAAAACTAATTCGACGCATATTTGCACCTATAGACAACAGGAAATACACGATACAATACTTCTGCTGTCTATCAACCCTTATTACAAAGTAAGAACTGTGGAGGTGGTATTTTTACATTGATGTAAACCATTTAGAGTTTTTCAAATGTCATTTAAAATACTAATAATGGCAGTAAGTATACAGCAGCAGAATAACACTGACCATTTTCAGGCTAGTGTGTGTGTTAAGGGGTTTGCCTGAACTGGAACACTTGATCAACCATTTGTGTCTTGGTGGGTTTTTTTTAATGTGCTACATAACGAAAATGGACTTCACTATGTATTTGTTCCCTCTTCTATTATGTATAATCCTGTAAATATCACAGCAGCCTGAGACGCTTCTTTCCATTAGTCTGAAGGCAACTGAAATAGCTGGCTTCATGCTGGACTGTGTACTTTGGTCAGTTTTCCATTAAAGTCACAACAGCAATTTTAATAGGCTGACCTAACTTTAATGAGCTGACCTTATTAAGGCCCAACAGTGGCTAAACTTCCTCCGTGTCCTTAGAAAGAATAACCTGGACCAGAAGATGCTGCTGGCCTTCTACTGGCTCCTCAGTGGAGAGTGTGCTCTACTACTGCCTTGGTGTTTGGTACGCAGAGGCCACAAATGAGAACAGGAAGGCTGCACATAGGGTAATTAACAATGCCCCCCCCCTAAAAAAATCATTGACTGCTCTCTGCCACCCCTGGAGGCCATCGCCAGATCCTTCTGTCTCAGAACACCCAGGGCCATCACAGGTGACCCCGCCCACCACCTGTTTGACCTGCTGCCCTCTGGTCGGCGCCTCAGGTCAATCAGGTCCCACACCTCCAGACTCACCAACAGCTTCTTCCCCTGGGTCATTCAGACTGTTAAAAAACACTAACCCCCCACACCCCACCCCTGCCCACCCATCTCATTAATCTGAGCCATGGTCTGAGTAACCCTCATCACTCAGGCCGCTCACACACAGACTCTATACTCAGACAGTCCTTTTCACTGCTTCCAAACACTTTGCTCTCCAAAGTGTGCCTTTCTCTTGTTTTGTATATGTATTCTTCTAGTTTGTATATATTTCTTCTGTTTGCCATTTATTCCTGATTTTTTTTAAACTCCGGCACAGTTGGCACTAAGCACCCATAATTTCACCTTACATATACAATAACAATAAAGGGCTATTTTATTCCGAACCAACATTTACTTATCACAAGTGTCTGCACACTTGTGATAAGTGTCTGCACACTTATCAAATAAAATTACAACAGCACAGTCAGCAGTCTCTGATGTCTAATAAACTGTTGCTATTTTTAAAAAAAGATTAGAATACTTGTCTATCATATAGTTCTGGTATTCCCAACCTAGTAGAGATATCGGTTTGTCTGAGCTTTTTCTGTGAGTGGCTGATGCAGTACAGTACAAATATAGACATGTGTGCTGAACTCCCAAGAAAAGTGCAGTTAATTAGAGTTTATTCAGATAATATTCATTAACAGAAACAAAACCACTTTGTCTATATAAAGCCATAAGAAACATAACATTTAAGTGAAATGTAAGTGAATGCCATAAATGTACCAGACTGATGAATCCAGCTATGTCTGAACACTTATAACATTACTGAGCTTTCTTAGTGGACTGTTGTCCATGTAAAGAAATTCCTGATGTGCTGTCTTCTTGCACAGAATTATCCTCCAGATTACTGTTGGGTGTAATTCTACACTCAGAAGATTCCTGCACCTACTGACATACAAACACTCCTTTTTTAACACACAGTGCAGCTGTTTGTCCTTCCTGACCTCCCAGCATGCTCTCCCTTTCCAACCGAACCATGCAACCCCCTACAATCATCCTGCTGGGGAAGCAGATGGTGGGTGAATGTCAGTAAAATTTTGTCCAGGTACACACTTTCTCATCTCTCGGAACTGAACAATATTGACAACAAATGACACACAAACAAACCGTAAACAAAGGAATTTTACTAACTGCAGCTCCAAATCGTTCTTCTCCTGAGGCAGAAACTTGTAGAGCGCCACATACGTGTGAATAGAGCGAACCTCCATTCGTTTTGGAGTCTAACAAAACAAAAACCAGATGGAAAATCAAGATTGCTTTTTTGCATGCTTCTCTTGTGGAATCATCAAACATAAAAATATTTTTTGACAGAATGCATTTGTACTAATTAAAAAAAAAGAAGCTGAAATAACAGAGCAATGCTGACTACACACCTTTAGACTGACCCGTTCTTCTGAATCAGCCTTCTCGCTTTCAGGAGGGGTGAGCACTGGAGAGACAGACACAGAAACCAAGGACAGATAATATACATGAGACAAAGAAAGGTCACATAGAAAAAAAGGAAAAAAATCAAGAAAGAGTGGTGGTGTAAGAGAAAGAAAGAACAGACAAGACACAGGAAGAGGGAGAGCTCTTGTCACTTTGTGGCAAACAAGTAAGGCAGAAGGGAAGGTCATTCACTATAAAGTGGCAGCAGTACAAACAGAGATGATCTCTTCTCCTGGGACTAAAGTCAAAGAGGAAAAGTGCAGAAGACACACACTACCACCTCTACACTGTACTGTATATTATGTTAATGTGGTCCTTTAACTCTTTGACATTTATTTAGCAATTGTCCTTTACCAGAAACATATCACAATGTATTAGAGCTGAACATTTGTTCTTTAAATACTCAAACTGTGTAACGTATTGTTTCAAAAAGTGTTTTTTATGCATTACACATTTTTTCACTCAGTATTCAGATATTCTATAAAGTTGTTTTAATGACAAATTCTAGATTAATCAATACCTGTACAGTATCACTTTCAGGACCAATGTACTGGTGCATGTTTTTTCTTTTGTCAGTATGTAGTCAGAAAATGTTACATAAAGACCCTACACAAGGAATACTTTGGGGTTTTTTTGTTTGTTTTTGTAAACAATCAGTATGAGTCTGAAGCAACGCAATCTGAAACTAGAGCCCAGCTGCCAGAAGCAAGGAAAAATGTCAAACCTTAAAACAAACAAAAAAAAAAGAGTAAACTACATCTACCAGAAGCTCTAAAGCTCACACATGGACATGCTCTGTCTCATTTGTTTAGTGTTAGCTTGAAATTAAAAATAGCTTTAAAAGAAAAGAAGGTGGGTTATGCAAGGGACTATTTCTTGGCTAAGCACAGTGATGTCCCTGGACTTTGGACCAGTTACCCAACAGTGATGAACAAATACTCAACTAATGTCTATATCTGTCCAGCATGAGAGTTTACGAAGTCTTTTTTTTTAAAGGGAAATTGTTACTGAATAAGAAACTACTGGTAGCATGAGACAATACCTGCATCCTACAGAGTATGCACAGGTAGTCCAACTCCACTAGGATGGCACATTAATATGCACCATTTTCCAGGAGGTTCACCGTGTCTCCCAGCGCAGTCTCAAGAGCTTGGAAGAGATTCCAGGAGACTGGCAGTTAGGAGAGCTGGACAGGGTGGTAGAAGGTCCTTAACCCATCAGAAAGACCGGTATCTGTTCCTTTGTGCAAAGAGGAACAGCATGATGCCAGAGCTAAAAAAAATGACCTCCAGCAGGACGCTGGTGTGAATGCTTCTGACCAAACAGTCAGGCCACCCTCATTAAGTCTGTTCCTGAGAACCCAGTATCCTAGTTGCCCTGTGCTCATTACCTACGGAGCTCGACCGGCATTTGCCATAGAATAAAAGCAGGTCCACTGCCTTGTGGTTTTCAAAGAAATAAGTATGTTCATACTGAGCACACGTGAGAGATGTCAAAAGATCTGGAGAAGAGATGGAGAATGTTGTGCTGCCTGTAACACATAATGCAGCATGATCAGTTTTGGTGGTGGGTCAGTGATGGTTTGAGAGGGAGGCACAAACGTATACAGCCCAGGCAACAGCACCCTGACTCAGACTGTCCAGGAGCTCAGTGATGTCCTGGTCCAGATCTGGGAGGAGAACCTCCAGAACACCATCCATTATCTCATTAGAAGCATGCCTGACAATGTTGAGGAGGCTATACAATTAAATTAGTTGCTGAAATTAAATTTTGGCAAAATGAACATCATTTTTTTCACTTTGATTTTCAGTGTGTTTTTGAATCAAGTCCTCTGTAAGTTGATACTTTTCATTACAATTAAAACAGATTCCCAGCATGATTGTTTTCCTCTATTGAGATCTGATGTTATGTTAAGAATAATCCTCAAGGAATTTTAGCATGACAACATAACAAAATGCATTTCCTGTATTCAAGAAAATATTTGACTTACTTCCTGGGATGTGATCCTCTTCAGCTATAGGCTGGTTTTCTAGTTTGTCTTGCAGTTTTTCTTCCTATGATAAAGACAGGAAGAACAATATTCTTGCAAGAAATTATATCAACATAGATTTTTCTGAATGATGAGGGTTGTCAGTGTATTTTGTGTGTGTGTGTCTGCCTGTGTGCATTTATACCTCATGACAGGGTGATTCTGAGATACTGCTGAAGCTGGATTGACTCAACTGAGCCAGTGTCATGCCGTAGCGCAAGGCCTCATACACAGGATCAACAGTGCTATTATCTGCTTCTACATATGACCAGACAAAAAGGAAAAGATCATCATATGTGCAGTTTTATAGATGATACTATACTGAGACACACACACGCACGCACGCACGCCTCTCATGTATAAAGCATTAAAGGCCGCAGACATGGTGATTAGTCATCCTCGGAGTCTAGTTATTTGCTGCTGAGATAAATCAGTCTGTGCTTCCATCACTCACCCTGCGCAGCAGGAGCCTCTCTAACCACACCCAGTGGATCAGTGGTAAGAAGAGGAGAGCTGAAGTTTCTTTTAAAAGCTCCTGTCTGACATACCAGGAGAGAGACAGCAGAGAAGGAAAGAGAAAGGGAGAAATGTTACTTGAAGAGGAAAAATGCTTTTGTAAGGAAAAGCAGAACATACTTATACATACTTACAGAAAATACTCACGAACTCTGAGTAATTGAAAAGGTTCAAATGTGAATGCACTCAAAATAATCTTGTTTGTGTTTTTCAAAACTGCAAATTATATATTTTCTTTGAGTTTTATTCAAATTAAATAAAACTAATTTTTACCCATGTGAAAAATACTAAATCATACTGCAGTAAATAAAACGCAAAATGTGTTTTATTACACCTACGAGACCCCTTTAGCCTTTAGAAGCGCTTCAAGGCTTAGATTCAACAAGGTGCTGGAAACATTCCTCAGAGATTTTGGTCTATATTGACATGACAGCCTCCCACAGTTGCTGCTCATCTGTGATACAAATCTCTTGTTACACGACATCCCAGAGGTGCTCTATTGGATTCAGATGTGGTGGCTCTGGAAGCGATTTACGCAGACCAAAGTCATTGTCATATTCAGGGAACCACTTTGACATTATTTGAGCTTTGTGAGATGGTGTGTCATCCTGCTGGAAGCAGCCATCAAAAGATGCGTACACTATGGTCTTAATAGGGATGGACACGGTCAGCACCAATACTCAGGCAGGCTGTGGGGTTTAAATGATGCTCACTTTGTACTGAGGGGCCCAAATGTGCCAAGAAAACTTCCCCCACACCATCACCGCCATCTTCATAAACCACCAAAAGCTGAAGGCAGGATAGCTCCATGCTTTCATGTTGTTTGTGCTCAACAGAACAGACAATGTCTTCCAGTCCTCTATTGTTCAATTTTGGTGAACCCCTCTATTTGAGAGCCTCATTTTTCCTCTTCTTAACTACCAGGAGTGGCACTGGCTGTGGTCTTCTTCTGCTGCTGCAGCACATTTGCATCCAGGCAATCAAATACAACTCTTCTGTCAGATGACACTAGCATCACAGAGATATGCACACATATCTGGTGACTGAAAGCATAGTGGTCCAAAGTAACAAAGGCAAAATATTACTGCTGGGATGTCGTGTGAGACAACATCAGACTATAAAGGTGCACCTTAAAATATGGCAAAAATGAAGGGATATTTATCAAAGCACATACTAAGGTAGTTCATGTGTCTTGAACGCAATAAATGCAAAATATTGTCCATATTTTTCCATCAGAGGCTTTAATTTTATGGATTGTAGCATGAAGGAATGCATTCCTGATGAATGAGCAGGCAGTGGTTCAGTACTGACCCCCCCTTGAGTAACCAGTGGCAGTCAACATCTGACAAGGTGTTAACTTTTGTTAGCATGATGTTTACAAGCAAAGTGTGTTAGCGCTACACTAAGCATTAGATGATTTGTTGGAGAAATGTCCAAAAACACTGCTGTACCTTTTATATGCCTGCCTTCAGGAAGATTTAATCACGTGGTGTCTGCATTAATTCGCCACAAAGGT